CCATGTTTCCTACAGTGCAGATATGTGCTCTAACAACCTAGGAGATTGGGGGAGAAAGGGAGGATCCTTGCCAGAGGAGGCTGTGAAGGCTAGAACTATAACAGAGTTTAAATAGAAGCTAGATAAATTCATGGAGGTTAGGTCCATAAAAGGCTATTAGCCAGGGGGTAGGAATGGTGTCCCTGGCCTCTGTTTGTCGGAGGCTGGAGAGGGATGGCAGGAGACAAATCGCTTGATCATTGTCTTCAGTCCACCCTCTCTGGGGCACATGGTGCTGGCCACTGTCAGCAGACAGGCTACTGGGCTAGATGGACCTTTTGTCTGACCCAGTACAGCCATTCTTATGTTCTTATGTTTTCTTTCTGAGTTAGACATGCTCTGAGAACAACTATGGGACTGGGACACTCACACAAGCTAGGTAGAGGACTACCAATGTTGAGAATCTCCCACGGCCTAGGTATGACCTAGAATCATGGCTTTCTGGAAGAAATGCAGGCACCTGCAGGTATAAGTAGCAGCTGGGCAGCAAGACTGGATCTATATTTTGGATTTAGGTACCTCAAGTAGCAGTTAGGTATATACATCCCTTTTGAATTAAGCCCCTAAAAGTAGTCAAGTACCATAGGAGTTGACCAGTTTTTTCTGTATTCCTCTGAGTGTGGACTTCTCCTTGTGTACAAGTCACGAGCACTTAATCTGCTGGAGCTGTGACTAGATGAAAGACAACAGAAGATGCTGAGCATGGGTGAAGTAAAGAAGAGAGTGTGATAGAGGGGATGCATATTGAGGCAGATGTAAACATACTGTTATTAGGGAGAGAAGGCTTGGACTAGGTTTGAAAGGAAAAAATGTGTTCAGCTGGGAAGTAGGGAATAGGTGTTTGCAACAGAATCCACATAACACATGCAGAGTGAACTCAAGGCTGATGTCAGAAACAACAAGTGAGGTGCTGGTTTTGAAGTAGAATGGGGGAGATCAGGAACCTGATGAGCTTGTCCAAAGAGCAGGGGAAGGTTTCTCTGGCCTCTGATGGTGGAAAAAACTGAATGTCTCCCTTGAGAAGAAAGCCCAAACCAGTGGGAGACTGCTGAGAGTTGGGAGTAAGGAAGCCTGATTTCATGTGGGGAGATCATATTGTAGAGACTGGCAGAGGTCAAAGCAGCCAGGTTTGGGGAGAATAATCTTGCTTGGAGGAAGATCTGCAGTAATTAGGGTGCATCTACGCTGAAGGGCTTAATTCGAAATAAGCTAAGCAAATTGAACTATGTCAATTGTGTATCTTATTTTTAAATAGCTTATTTCGAAATAGGGAGCATCCATATAGCACTTATTTTGAAATAGAGCACTCTTCCTCTGAATCCCTTATTCCTCATACAACGAGGGTTACAGGAGTCAGAGTAAGAAATCTTCCAGGTTGGCAGTATTTTGAAACTATTTTGAAATAACTGCCGGCTGTGTAGACGCAGACTAAGTTATTTTGAAATAGTGTTGCAGTGTAGATGTACCCTAAGAGTCCTATTTAGGACTAAATCAGGTAAAATTTCCATTGGTTAAAATTGTGCAGTCCTTTCCCTTGGCCAAATTCTTCATGGTCTGTATGTGGCTGCGCAGTGAGTGAAGCCTGCCCCTTTTCTGAAGCCTGCATAAGGATCAATCCCTGACCTCAGGGGATGAAGGGACTGCACCCTTCCTGATCTGCTGAATCACACCATACCATAAAGGGAGCAGGGAAGAGTGGGCCATTGCTCTATGCAGGCACCAGAACTGGCCACTAATGCAGATGGTAAAAAATTTCATTTGTTAAAAAAGCAGGCATGCAACCAGTCCGGGTGTGTCCAGGAGACATTCTGAATGCTACCTGCCGCTCTCCTGGTGTGGTGTAGGTCTGTGTTCCCTATTACTATGGACTGTGCTTACAAAGCACAACAGAGTTCATTATTCACCTAGAAAAATCATTGCTGAAGCCAGTTGGAGTCAATGAGAATCGTGATGGAATAAGAAGTGATTAAAAATAAGGAAAGGGTTCAGTTATTCCCAAGGCAGATGGATACTGAGATCTGTGTAAGACATTCCCCACACCTACAAATAATGCAATGTTTGGTGAAATGTTAGGAGTTATCTCTCTGAGAGTATCTATATAATGTTAATATACAATGAGACCATGTAAATTAATTTCCATATAAATGAATATATGATATGCTATATTCTGAAATGACAAAACAAGAGTCTTCAGTGCTCAGCAAAAGCCACTGAGTGATCAATTTACCCATTAAACTGAAAAATCATGTGACATACCATAGTTTACACGATTTATAACTTAATCCTTCTTCTGCTTTTTTAATGAGACCTCACTGGGATGGAATGTTCCTTTCTCTCTTGCTTCCCCCTTCCTTTTTTTTGGGGGGGGGAAAAGGGGTGATCTTATGAAATAAGATGATAGCATAACATTGCTAGGAGATTTGGAAAAAAAGATGATAAAACAAGAAGTTTATTTCACATATCTGGGAATATCATGTTTTAATTAATATTGTAAGGTGTTTCATCCACAAAGACACACATTGATTTTGCTCAGCACACCAGTCTGAAATGTAAGAAGCACTTTCCAAATTATATAAAGTGCTTCACATATTGGAAAACTATGTTTCTAAATATATTGGCCCAGATTCTAAACTGGAAGAATTCCGCATAGCTCTATTGACTTAAATGGCGCTATGATCATTTTCATAAGCTGCAGATCTGCCCCTGTGACTATTTCTGGTGCTGACTATTTTCATTTTATAATTCTCATATGCTAGAACATAATTGCTACATTTGTCTACTGGTCCCCTTTGCATTTGATCTCATAAAACGTAATGTGTAATATTGCAATGTGCAGATCAAGCACTGATGTACATTGCATGGGGAAGGGATCACAAAAGATAAATCATTTATTTTAAAAATGTACAACACGATAAGCTGGAGACAATATTGATCTCTTAATATTCATTGCTAAGACAGTTATTACAGTTAGATTTTACTTTGTTGTACCTTTCTAATGTATTTCCTTAAATAATGGTTCTGATGCTACTTCTTGTTATCTCAATCTTAAAACGATATAGTTAACTTTAAAAATTCAGGAAAATAAAAACTTGCTGACTGTCTCTTAGTTTGTGTGGAAGTCGAGTGTATCTTTCAAATGACATACATCTTTATCAAATTGTCTGTTATCACAAACACACACTTCAGCTGATAAGATATTTGAAAATAACATGTATTCTCGTAGTTAATTGGTGGTCAGAAATGCTTTTTAACTTTCAAACACTAAGACAACTGGGCTAAGCATTTCCCTTTAACTGCCAAATGTAATGATTAGTGACTCTCTGTCCATGCCATGAAAGGAGGTATTATATGAGCTACGTCTACATTGGCATCCCTTTCCAAAAAAGGGATGCTAATGAGACGAGTTGGAATTGCAAATCCGCGGGGGATTTAAATATCCCCTGCGGCATTTGCATTTACATGGCTGCCGCTTTTTTCCAGCTTGGCGATAAGCCGGAGAAAAGCGCCAGTCTAGATGCGATTCTCCGGAAAATAAGCCCTTTTCCGGAGGATTTCTTATTCAATACCTGTAGGCCATTTCTTGCCGCTTTCTTTGAACAGTGGAAAAATACACATTTCTGACTACTAGAAATGTTGTTAATATATCTTTAGACTATTTCTTAAGAGCAACATGATAGGAGTTCAAAAGATTGCTGATAAATAGAGCTCTCTACCACCTAAAACCTAAAAACAGGCTGGGCCAGTAGAGAGATGAAAGCTTTATCCAGCTGGTAGCATGACGGATGTTAAATGTGTGTTGTTCTCAGACTAGATCCAAGTGGAAAGACACTTGTGTAGTAAAACAGTCATTGGAAGCATCACTGTATGGCAGTCTCATCAATGACGTCAAAGACTGAAAGTGCACAGAGTCAGAACTATTTCTGTCTTTTACTTCTAGTGATGATGTACACAGAATTGACTGAGACACACTTATGAGGCAGTCAGGCTAATGGCAGAAACTATTCTCCAGTAAAAGTTAGACTCTTGCACTTTTTAGGAACATACATTTTTATTAGAAAAAACTCCTCAAGGATATAATAAAAAAATAGCCATGAGGTAAATGGACAAAATTTCCACTGAAGTGAATTGGAAGTTGTCCATTTACACTAGCTGAATTTGGCCCACAAGCTATTTTAAAGAAGTTTTTACAGGTAAGTGAAACCAAATTCCTTTAATGCCCATGCTGGCAAGAAATACTTTTATTGTATTTTAAGTTTTAGTAAATTTCATTATTCAGGTTTTACATATGTAATGCCAATAGGCAGCATCTAACCTAGGAACTCTGGAGCTTAGTGCATGAGCCACTCATTCTCTCTGTAAATTGTCTCTCTGCCACTAGATGGGATAATACACTACACCCGGAAGGTGTGTGGGTTACACATACAAACTCACTGTGTTTGTGGTTAGTATATCAGTAGTATATGTCAGCTGACTTTATAGCTCAAGCCCTATGGGCTGAATGCACTGAGATCCTAGGTTTGGTTCTGCCTGCAGGCAATTATACTCAGTCCTGCTCTGAGTGTAGGAGACTGAACTTTATGACCTCTCAAGGTCCCTTCCAGTTCCAGGATTCTATGATATTGTTACATCTAAGTTTGTGGGGAAGTCCAGCTCAAATAATGCAGAACATCAAAACATGTAAAATTAGATGTAGGATTTTGCCCTGTTAGTTACTCCAAATTACAAAGCCAACACATAATTTGATACCATACCAGTGATGTTGGTCCTGCACCTTCTTAAATGTCCAAATTTTATTTACTATTACACTAAAGAAAAACCAAATGACCCTAGCACCATACCACAGAAGGTATTTAAAGACCTTAAATTTATGTCTCATTGGTGGACATACATTTTAATATAAGGCATTCCTAAATTTTATATTTTATTTTTCTAAATGCATGTTAATTTCTTATTTATTTCAGGCGTTACTAGAGACTCAAAATTTACTGCGCACTCAGGTTGCAAATTTTACCTTCAACCTTGGATTTTCAGGAAAGTTTTACCACACAGGTAAGAAGGAACTTTGTGCTCTCAGGTAGCTACAATTAAATAGGTACCAGGGTTTTAAACCTAGTCTTTAGCACTGTCTATTTATCATTGCTAACTCAGTGGAGCAATGGGAAAGTGCTGTGTTCCATCATCTCAGGCACTTAGTGTCCTGTCCAAGGCCCACTGAAGCAATGGAAGGAAACCCATCGATTTCAAAAGTCTTTTGATGAGGCCCTGAAGGATATGAAGTGTCTTTGCATTTTCTGAAGGGCATCCTGCCAGACACAGGGTAAAAAGGAAGGCAAATTAACTAATAAGGCTGCTGTAAAGACAGAACTGCATGGGCGTCAATCCAGGCTTTTTGCAATATCACAAGTGCAAAGAAAAGCACCAGACTGAAAACTGAGTGCCACAGCCTTTTAAGAAGAAGCAATATTGGAATGTGACGCACATTGTGAAGTGTTTCAATATGATTAGAAAGCTGCCCATTAGCAATAATATTAGGAGAAAAATTATGCACATTGTGAAGTGTCTCAATATGATTAGAAAGCCACCCATTAGCAATAATATTAGGAGAAAAATTAAACAATTATACTTTTCTTTAACAGTCTTGTTATACCAAAACTTTCATTAAAACATATTTAATTAAAATAATTTTATTTTTCCTTACTACCTCTGAGCACCCAATGGATTCCTCTTACCCACACCACATTTCTCAGTGAGATTAGCATTGCCTGATTCAATGCACTTAACTGTCTCCTTCACATGTTCTTCTCTCTGTCTCAACTTTGCTCCCCTGCACAATGCTCCATCCACTTTCTCACTTTTTAAATCTCTCAATACCCCTTTGCCTTATCCTGTTCCTTCAGTCAGGCTTCCCAGCTCCTCCTTCACCATTACTTATGTGACACCAAATAATGGGAGGATCAATGAGAGGCACACTCAAGCACTTACTTGAACAGAGATAATTTTCAGGGGACTACATTGTAAGCCTAGCAGTTTTTCCTGTTTGAAGTGTCACATCTGGAATGCACAGGTTCACATCTAGGTCAACCATACTGCAAAGGGGACTGTTGGTTGTATTATATTAAAGACACTGGGAGGCTTGAGTGGAGGAGTAAAAATGAATTAGAGAAGCAAAAGAATGAAAGGAGAATTTTAAAAAACCTAGGTCATGCAATATGTGTATGTTGGAGGGATAAAAGGGCAGGGAGGAGAGAGATGAAAAGAGGTTTCAGAGAGGAATGTAGAGTCCAAATTAATATGTATTTGTAATATTGTTACTACCATCCCCATTGTACTAGACACTGCACGAACATCTAGTGAGAGATAATATTGTTATAGATTAAATAGACAAGACAAATGGTATGAGGGAAAAGAGATGAAATGTTTTCCTGAAGATCATACAGCAAGTGGGTGTCAGAGCTGGAAATAAAATTTAGATCTCTTGAGACCTATTGAAGAGCTTGTTTTCAGAGAAAGTTGTCAGGGGCTGGGGAATAAAGTGATATTAAGAAAATTGAATGGTGTTAGTTTTGCTAATGAAGTTTTTTTATGATCATGGGCCAATTCCTGAGGCCCATGGTCAGATTTTACTTCATCTTTAATCAGGAAACTCTTAAAGGGTATGTCTACACTACAGCGTTATTTCGAAATAGTTATTTCAATATAGCTTATTTCGAAATAACACGTCTAGACCCAAAATGCATTTAGAAGTAGCGTTTTGCTATTTTGAAATAGCATGTCCACACTGATAGGACACTGAATCGCATTTAAGGCCAGCCAGAACCGGTTCTGGCAGGGCATCAGGTCAGGAGCTACCTTGTGTGGCTGCTGCCTGAGGCTATCTGAGACCTGTGCTTAAAGGGGCTCCCCTCCCCAGACAGCCGGTTCTAAGGTTTCCCTGCTTGCTTGCCTATCTCGCTGAGGGATAGCAAAGCATTTTTTTCTCTGCGTGCTCTGGTTGCCCTCGCTCAGAATACCATAGCACTCTGCAGCAAGGAGCTGAAGCTGCCTCTGGGCACTCTAGTGCTTCTCTAGGACGTGTTCCTGTGAGCCTGGCAGCATGTACTGCAGGCAGTAACAATCTCCCTGGTGTGTCCCACTGGGGGATTGTGCCTCATTCCTCCCTCACCTCCTTCCACTTACCCCTCCCTAACCCCCCTTCCAGCTGTACAATAAAAGACATGTGTTAATTACAACAAAGCCTCTTTATTGAACAATTCTGGGGTGAGGGAGAATGAAGGTACAAGAGGGGAGGAGGGAGGGTGGGAGAGAGAAGAGGGAAACCTGGGAGGAGGGAGCTGGCAGGGGGAGGCAAGGGGAGGAAGGGGGAGGAGAAGCTCAGGGCTCAGGGTTGGGGGTCTTGCTGGCCCAACTGTCCTTTTCCACTCTGGATGTGGGGGTCTCCCCGCGGGTGTGGGGAGGGTGGGAAGGAAGAAGCAGGAGGGGGATAAGAAGTGGGAGGAGGAACGGTAGCTGGGGAGGCAGCCAGGTTGGAGCAGCAGGAGGCAGCAAGCTCTTCCCCAGGGTCGATGACCGCCTGGGGGACACTGACCATCCTGCCCCCCCAGGATGCTGTCCACAACATCAAAATAGGGGTGGGGGTCTGGGTCTCCCCATGGTTGGGAGCTGCCCTCTGTGGCCCTGGAATATGCCTGCCGCAGCTCCTTCATTGTCATGTGAACCTGCTCCTGGGTTCGCATGTGGCCTTTGGTGGCCAGGCTGGCAGCCATCTGCCTGTAGATGGTTGCGTTCCTCTGTTTTGTGCGGAGAGCATGGATGTTGGAGACATCCCCCCCAACCTGAATTAGGTCCCTGATCTCCACAGGCAGGAGCCCACCTTTTCCAGCCCCTGACAGGCTCCTGGGCACTGGCAGACTGGTCCTGGGGAGCAGTGGAGGGCTGGCTGGCACTGGATGTTAAGGGCTACGGGGAGGGGAGGGGGAAGGGGAGAGGATTTTTCTTGGTTGTGCCCAGAGTGGCCACCTGGGCATCCTGGGAAGGGATAGAGGCCCCCTATTTCAAAATAAGCATCTACACAACGCTTATTTCGAAATAGCAGTTTTGAAATTGGTGCTATTCCTCATGGAATAGGGTTTACCAATTTTGAAATAAGCCCTCTGCTATTTCGATTTCATTTTGAAATAGCAGTTTGGCTGTGTAGATGCTGGTAAAGTTATTTTGAAATAACGGCTGTTATTTTGAAATAACTTTGGGGTGTAGACATACCCAAAGAAATCAGTAGAAGCTTTGCCCAAGTACAGAGGACAAAAGAAGGATGTCACTAGTTTGCTCACTACATCTTAACTTGCCTATAAACATTTCTTATTGGTGTTCTCTATAATAGGGTAACTTAAGCCACACAAAAAAATCATTATATTGTGGTGATAAGATGCTTCTTAACAAGCATCAGTTCTTCAGGTATACGCCATTTGTTCATCCCAGCAAGTACAAGAAAAAAAGGGGAAAAATCAATGGGGAAAAGATCATTTATTTTAAGTACTAATGGAAATTTTATATTATTGCTAATATTAGGGATGTTTTTCAGTTAAAAATACTGACTTGCAATCTTCATTCATTTCTTTTTGTCAATTTGAGTTTCCTCTCGATCTGCCACAATTGACTAAAAATTACTTCATGTATAATGTTCAGGTTTTCTCTTGTCAGTTGACTTTAATATTATCAATTTTTCATTTGTAACTGGCATAGAGAGAAAGTGTTCATGTGTATGTATGTGTGTTCTCCAGAGACACTATGAGGGTTACTGAAATAGCACAAAGTTACTTAATAAGCTGAGGCATCTCATTGGCTCCATTAAGAGATCTCTAGCATTCTGTACTCAGTGATGCATGTGAGTTCTAAAGTGTGCACTTCATTCATGGCGTGATATTATTGTTTTGTCATATCAGCTTAGTGGAAACATTTCAAAGTATTCTCCATGCAAACACACACCGTATTGACTCATTATAAATAATATATGGAAAGGTATTCATTAATTACTGTAAACATGGCTTGTTTACTCAAAAGAGGCATTTAATTTAAGATGCTCAACATGTTTTATTAGGGCATTAACTGCTGTGCTTTATTGACTTTTCTTTAATGCACAACTTTGTACTCCCTTCCAAAACTCAGATCAGTTGAAAATTACAAGGAGGAAATAAACATGTGAATCTGTTGTCAAATAATTATATCTTTTAATTAAGAGATCACTGACCTGTACTGCATCTATACCACTTTATTTGAGTGGCCACATATAATTAGGATAGCTATATACTAACTTTTTACACTAATTAATTATAATATTCTCATTGACACCTATTACCATTAACAGGCAATGGTGTGATATAAGAAAATGGATGTACTTTGCTGGAGTCTTTTTAGGCTATAAGTAAACTGTGCACTTGTAGACAAAAAGGTAGTGGCAAGAGTTGACTAGTGTTTACTAGTAATACTGACTAAGCATGTGTTTTCATATGCTCATTACTACAACAGTTGGAAATGGGGAACTTTTTACAGAAAATTGAGTTTTATTGGAAAAAATGACAACTAAAGCCTTTTTTGATGTACTTTCTGGGGAAAAAATTGTTATAAAAAAATAAACACCAGAACAATTTTACATTAAAAAAAGGGTTGGGGTGGGAAAATTTCAATAACTTTCAATAACTAATATATTTTACTATATTTAAAATTTTATTTTAATGGCATACAAAGGTAATAGGTTTTCATGTCAAGTTTCAAACCTCAGCCATTTGTATTGTTTTCTTGCAAACTCCTCCGTAAGGGTATTCAGGTTTTAAAAAAATAGGAAATATTCTGGATGAGGTTTCTAAACCTTTACCTCGATTAAAAAATGGTGAACATATTATACTCAAACTTTACAACAACAACAACAAAACCCTCCACATCAGGACTAGACTATCCTGGGAAGATCTGAGACCAAAATATTACTTTTGTAAAGGAAATTGTTTTGTAATCTTATTATAATTATTTAAAATATTCACTTCTCACTGCATCCTGTGTTCTAACTTTACTTTATTATCAGATATATTACATTAAATGCATGATTTAAACTTACCCCAGTCCATATGTAACATTTCTCTCCATCTTTTTTCCTTTTCATTCCTACTTCGGAAACCCTGAACCAAACATGCCCTGGTTTACCCTAGGGAATTATTTTGAAATAGCTCCCCTTTTTTCGAAATAACAAGCAGAGCATCCACACTATGCTGCCTGCTATTTTGAAATAATAACTCCTCCTTTCCTTGGGGAATAAGCTTATTTCAAAATGGTTATTTCAGGAGTTATTTCAAAATAAGCTATTTCAAAATAATTTCCAAGTGTAGACATGCTCCTTGAGTCATCACTGCTTGGACTATCCAGTGCATTCAGAAATAACAGTAGCCAGCTTTCTTCTGAACAGTTTATTTCTTTAAAAAAATAGAATGGATTATATGTCAAGGAAAACTCTGAAAACTCTCACCAACTTATATAAGTGTCATATCGCAGATTGAGTATATATTCTTCCACCTGTTCTGTGTCACAAATAATATAAAAAGTAATATTCTTCAAATGATTGCAGAAATTAAATAAAAAAGTAAATAATACATTGAACTTTCAAATACCTGCTGTGAAAGTGAATAAGGATGACCACAAATAACTTTCTTGTAGTTAGTTTTGTTAAGTATTGAAAGTCTTCTAAAAGAGAGCTATCTTTGTGATACAAATAAAGATATGTCTTAAACTAAATAAAAGCTGTTTACATGGTGAAGGAACTAGAAGGGATGCTGCCAGTAAACTGTCTGAAGTTTTAATAGTTGATTTGAGAATGAAGTTAGTAAGATATAATGTAACCATTCACCTTTTTAAAAGCACTAGGCTAGCTGTCTGCAGTCTCTAGAAAGTAGCTCTGTTATTTCTCATAGTGTTGTGCAAATACCTGACTTTTTGCTTCATCAGCGAAAAGAAAACATCAGAAAAACATTTTTTCAGGTCAAGAAAAATTAAACTTTTTTTTAAATTTTGTTTAATAAAAGTCAATGACATTTGGAAACTGGAAGGGCTATATTCACTAGGGGTATGTCTATACTAGCCCCCTAGTTCAAACTAGGGAGGCTAATGTAGGCATTTGAAGTTGCAAATGAAGCCCGGGATTTAAATATCCCGGGCTTTATTTGCATCTTCCCGTCCAGTCGCCATTTTGAAATTTCACTAGTCCGGACTAACTGCCCGTGGCTACACGGGGCAGGGAGCCGGTAGTTTGAATTAAAGCCCCTAAATCGAACTACCATTAAACCTCCTTGCAGGAGGAATAGCGGGTAATTCGAATTAGGGCTTTAATTTGAACTACTGGCTCCCTGCCGCGTGTAGCCGCGGGCAGTTAGTCCAGACTAGTGAAATTTCAAAATGGAGACCGGATGGGAAGATGCAAATAAAACCCGGGATATTTAAATCCCGGGCTTCATTTGCAACTGCAAATGCCTACATTAGCCTCCCTAGTTCGAACTGTTTTGTGAATGGTTCTTGTGTTAGTGATGATGCTGCTGGTAAGGGACTTATTCGAGTTACATGCCTTACACTCTGCAGTCTAGTGGCTATTTTTGGGTAAGACTATCTCAATCACTTCTATTGAAGTGTTGAAGCTGTTTTGTAATTAAATTAGTCATTAGGCCTCAGAGAGAAAGAGAATTACTTTGCATTCTGGTAGCTAGAACAGCCACTCAGGAGGGAAAACATGGCTACAATTCTCTTCTGGGCCAGAGATTCAAACTGAGGTCTCTTGCATCCCACCTAAACATTTTAACCAATGGACTAGCTCATATGGGTGGAAACTATCTTTTCCTATCTTTTATTTTCTGAATTACACCAAGTGTCTTTGTGATTCTGGCCCAAATTGGAATATTTCATTTAAAAATATCAATATGTATTATTTTGACATTCCCTTTTTTTACTCCTGAAGCAATTGACAGAAACTGACACAAATTTACAGAGAGTTACAGTTGACCTGAATTTGCAGTTTTCAAAGGAAAAAATGTTTCAGACAAATATTGACACCCATCTCTGTGCTTTCTTCTGCCTGAACAGCAGTCACTAATGTTGACTATTAACATTTATTTAAAAGTAAAGTTTAAATTCTGTAAAAAAAAAAAAAAAAAAAAAAAAAAAAGATGGCATACCAAGGAAAAATCCACCCTTCACTTGCAAGTCCTGTCTATTACAGCTTTATTTTACTGCCTAGAAACTTCATGGAAATGTTGCATGTTTCTAATTTCTGATTTGATAAAAATATATCATATTTGTGTTTCATGAGACAAGTAATGATAAGCCTCTTAGTGGGAATTTCTTTTGGCTTTTGGAGCTTTCATAAAATGCAAATCACTGGTTAATACTGCTGGTTCTACACGTACTAATATGACCCTAGGTGAAAGAGCATCTTTATCTGGGCTAGTGAGATGCTCTTTCACTTAAGATCACATTAGTTCTACTCCAGGAGTCAGCTAAAGAGCATGAGAAAAAGTAGTTCATCTCCACTCCTCTCTCCTCTGGGTAGCAGTTCAAAGCCTTTCAAATACCAAATAAGAGAGATTGTGACTGCCTACTTTCCAACAGCAGGTAATATCGATTTTTGGTTACAGTTGGGCCTTGGTTCTCCCTCTAAGCCTGCCCTTAAAAGTCAGGTGTCATTGTTATAAATTAATGTAAGTGAAGAGAGAAATAGCAAACAGAACACTTCATATAATCTTTTCCTTAACAGAGCCATGTAATTGCATCATATCTATGTCATTACATTTGGTGAGGCATCAGTCTAGTTTAAACTGCAGTTACTTGTACTTTTCACTGTACAAGTGCTTTCGTTCCTTATGTTGCAGGAACTGAAGAGGAGGATGAAGGTGATGACCTGTTGTTGGGCTCTGTGGATGAATTCTGGTGGTTTCCCCATATGTGGAGTCACATGCAGCCTCATCTCTTCCATAATGAGTCATCACTGGTGGAGCAGATGATTCTCAACAAAGACTTTGCACTAGTAAGTAATAGTTATAAGAAGGTGTGATAGACTGCAAGTCAGGAAAGAGTTAATATGGGTTACCTTGGAAGGGAAACAGCTATGTCCCCTCACATCTGAAGATGTTGGAGGATGGTTAAGTCAGTGCAAGACCAAGAGGGAAAAAGAAGTGGATTCTTTTCTACCCTTTTCCATCCCATAAGGAGACACATAGGGAAGGTATGTAATCACCGGGGAGGGTATAGACTCTTCACTAGAGTAGATCGTTGGGAAGTGCTGGAAATATTTTGGCGGCTTTACCTATAATGTGGATGAAGCCTAGATGTTGGAGGATGGTTAAGTCAGTGCAAGACCAAGAGGGAAAAAGAAGTGGATTCTTTTCTACCCTTTTCCATCCCATAAGGAGACACATAGGGAAGGTATGTAATCACCGGGGAGGGTATAGACTCTTCACTAGAGTAGATCGTTGGGAAGTGCTGGAAATATTTTGGCGGCTTTACCTATAATGTGGATGAAGCCTGTCTTTGGAAAGTCTGATCTAAAAAAAGAACTTGGACTTAAATGTTACTGCTCATTAAGGAGAACTTCCTTTTTCTAATGGTTTTGTGAGGATGCAGTGGCCTCAGCAGGGCCGACAGCCTTCCCAGGCCTTTTTATATCACCAGGCTCTGAAGTAGTTGCCCCTTTTATCCTCCTCCTCTTCCTCCACAGGTTGGCCTGAGTGGTCTACAAGCAGCTGATTGATTATGTAATGCCTTTAGGGACAGTTATTTAGCCCATTCCTGCACCTTGTAGCTTAAAGAAGGCAATTATAAATAGGTAAACTGCTTCCTGATATATAGTGCAGACATAGGTAGAGTCAGGAACCAGAGAAAGGATAATAGGTCAAATGAGGGGTTCACTTAAAAGATTTCATAGAATTTGAACTGAAAGACACCTCAACCTGACAAAGGGGATGAGAAGTGAAATTGCAGAATTTCACGGTTTTTTTAAATCTATGCAAGTATTTGAAAATTTGCCTTTTAAATAGCTAGTCTGCCTCTTGGGGGTCATGATGCATAATGATGTTTAATTTATCCTATTGGTACTGTTAACTTTTAAGAGCTGTCCCTGAAACACTGGATGGAGCTCAATAGAATTGTATTGTAAAATAATGTGGAAAGTTCTTTAGGGTCCATCCAGAACAGTTCTCCTACATTAGTTATCATAACAAAGAGGAAAAACAAAATCTAGAAAGTCCTGTCTTTGGGGGGAAAAAACATCACAATCCTAAGCAACCAAAGTCATTCAAAAGAGTAGAATGACATTGTCACTCAATCTGCTACTTACCCAAACTTTCAGAGACTCTTCCATTTCCAGCTGCCAGTATTCTCCTCTTCTATGAAATTGTAGTGCAAATACAAGGAGTCTAGGAAACTTATAGTTTAACACAGGATGGAAAGAACATGCACATCCACTAACGTGACCTATGCCATCAAATGCCAGCAATGCCCCACTGCCATGTATATTGGCCAAACTGGACAATCTCTACGGGAAAGAATTATGGACATAAATCAGATATCCGAAAAGGCAACACACAGAAACATGTTGAAGAACGTTTTAATCTGCCCGGGCATTCATTAATGGATCTGAAAGTCACCGTATTGTTTCAGGCCAATTTCACAAGCCAAATACATGGGGAAGAGTTGGAACTTAACTTCATTTACAAGTTTGATTCCTTTCAGAGAAGAATGAATGAAGATATTGGCTGGCTCCCACAGTACCTTCCACATCCTAATGACTTAACCAACCAACCAAACAATGGGTACTTATAGAGATGCAAATTGTTCTTATCAGCCTCTTGTAACTTGAACAATCTAATTCACTACTTTTTCTCTCCCCCCCCCCCCACCTTCCTTCCTTTATTTATTCTTAGATCTGGACTTTTAATACTCCAGTCATCTGAGGAAGTGGGTTCTACCCACTAACTCTCATGATACCATCTACATGTTTTGTTAGTCTTTAAGGTGCTGCTAGACTATTTGTTGGTTTTTAATGCTTCCCTTTGTTTGTAGAATTTTTTTCTCCTAATGACCTCTATAGCTTCATGTAATTGCCTTCTATGCTTCCTGTAGCTGTTTTTTCTGAACTTTCTTGTTTGCCTGGATATTTATACAGAATAGTGTACAAAACAGAGTGTGAATGTTTCTTTCATCAGCTTTCTTTTATGACCCGATTCATTCATGGATTATAGAATCCATCTTTCTTCACATCATGATTAGCGATGAGCAAATCAATTCAGGTACGAGAACCATATTGAAACATTAGTCAAAAGTTGAAATCAAACTGAAATTTTGAAGTTTACATGGCTTTTCCTTTCATAATGTTCTATTTCTCTATGATTATAAATTGCTGGTTCCAGGAGGAACCCAAAGCAAAACCAAAAATCAGGAAATTATATTCTTGGAAACTTCCAACTCCCTTTGCAGACCCATAGATTTAAGACAATTGATATGTTTTAGTAACCAACCAAACTTGTCAGTGTTTATCCAGATTATTCTTCCAAAATTTGGGGATCAGTCCATAAAATACTCCCAAACCTATAATTACACCCTTGCCTCCCATGTTCCTTCTATGTTTGCTGAATCTCCTATAAAAGAATATAACAATTTATTTTAAAGTGCACCCACTCTATACAAGGATCCTTAGAGTCCCTTTAAACCAGAAGTAACCAATAGTGGATAAGTGACTTTGGTACACTATTAATACAATAATTAAAATTCAATAGAACAATTATTTATGACTGAGTGCAATTACAAATTGTTTCTTCAAATTTAGTTGTGCACAATTCTTCTGGTATTTTACTTTATAGAATATTTCAAGGGAGTGTATATTAGTATTTGTGAGTGAGAGGGACATAGACAAATATTAGACACAGCTCACATCAAAAAATCCAAGTAAAATTCATGATATATAACTCAAACATTTTCAGCCCATTTTCCTTCAACCTCTCAAGAAAATTTTCCTCAGTAATTGGATTAAACCTGCCAAAGTTCAGGTCAAAATATATTTAATATCAGAAGTTATAAGATGGGCTAAAAGTAGGTCTTCTCACAGATTTTGGATGCAGCCTTAACTGCAAAGGCAATATCTTCTCTCTAAAGTCATTTTCATTGAGTGGCAATAGCTCTTAAGTGTACCCAGAAATAAGAAATTGAGGAAAGTGAAAGGCTGGTGTCGTAGTTTTATTTCCTTCCCATGGCTGGCTATGGGTTGTACTGACCTCTTAGCACTGAATTCTATAACAGCTGTACGATTTACTTATACAGACACTTCTTTTCAAAAGACTTCATGTGAAATCCTATCTGTGGGAGAAATTTATCTTCCTGATACAACAACCTCCCCAATGCCTAACACAGTGCTGGCAACCATGAACTTGGAGTAATCCTACATCCTCCTCTCCTCTCTCATTGTTAACATCTTACCTTGTTTGGAAATGACATTCCCTATCTCTTACTACATTTTTTTCTTATCTCTTAGAATTGCCAAAAGCAAATCCTTTTACAGTGATCAGTATTTTTTCACATTCTAAATCCACATTAGCAGTTTAATTAACATGAATAAATAAGCAGAAGCCTCCACACTTATTTTTCATTATTGATTTTTATTTTACATGGAGTCCTTCTTGTATTTTTGTGCTGTTTTCTTTTGCATTATTTATCTATTCACTGAAACCCCCGTTACTAGAAAATGTCAATAAAGATTATCCATGAGAAGCTTTTGCATAAAGATGTAACCATTTCCTGTGGAAGCTGATTGGGGATGGGACAGCATTTGGGTGGGATCTTTTGTTTTCTTTTAAAAGGATTTGAGAGGAAAGCATTCCTTTTGAGAGGACACTGTTAATGCAGATTTGCATATCTTAAATAGAAAATTGCTTCACATTGCAGTTTTTGAGAACAGTGTGGTGTTTTTAAATGAAATACAGTGACACCTTCTTTTTATGATCTCACATATTGTGAAACTCTATTTTTAATAAATTAGAACATAAGTTGAATCACTACAGTGCCTTTACATATGCAGATTCCATTTACAGTAAATCTACACTGAAGTCAATAGAAGGATTCCCAAAACAGGACAACTGTTCTGGGAGAAACAATATTTAAATAATAAATGTTCTTTATTGTAACAGAATTCCTGCCCTGAATTAAAGTCAGCCTTAATGAACACTAGCCAATTCTGTTTCTGCATATGAATCACACAAATATTTTTAATTATTACATAAAGTTTTATATATAGTCATTGCATCTTCTATTTACTGAAAATGGGGTGCAGGGTCTATGATTCAGAGTAGGTGACTGAGTCAAAGCATAATAACTGGATTCTAGTCTCAGCCCTGCAACTGGTTTGCTTCCTGACCTGTACTTCATTTGTGCGTTGTGGTGGTACGACTGCTCCACACGGGTCAAGAAGGAGGGAGCCTGTTCAGAATCCTGACCAATCAGGGAAGGCCTTAAAGGATCCAGTCAGGATGTACCTTGCTGGGGTAGTCCTGTATAAAAGGAGATGCTCAGCAGAGAGTAGGCAGTTAGGCCCAGACCAGGGAAGGTTTAGAACCTGGTTCCCACAAAGAAGCACCTTCAGGAAAGCAGTGCTGGGCATGCTCAGAGAGGCTAGAGAGGGAGACTCCAGCTGGATACCTGCCAGATTGCTGGCCTTGCTACAAGGACCAAGAGGGTAAAAGGGGTCACAGGGGAACTGACCCAGGGAAAAAGAGTCAGTGGAGGGAGCGTGAATGAAGACAGGACAAGGTTGCTACCAGAGGGTCCCTAGACTGAGATCCAGAGAAGTGAGCATGCCTAGATCCCTCCTTTCCCCCTTTCATTTCACCTCACCACTAAGAACAGTGATAGAAATGTAGCCGTGTTAGTCTGGTGTAGCTGAAACAAAATACAGGACTATGTAGCACTTTAAAGACTAACAAGATGGTTTATTAGATTATGAGCTTTCGTGGGCCAGACCCACTTCCTCAGATCAAATAG